ATGTGCTGTAAAATTTGAGAGAAGTGCTAGGCAGCTTAGGAAGCCTCTTGTTACATCTTAATCTGGAAATGAGACTTGTCCTATTTTTCCTTCCTGCACCTTGTTCTCAGTCTGTAATGAAGAACTGAATATTTTGCCAGAAAAAAAAAAAAAAAAGCAGCCTTAATCTGTAGGTCTTTGGCATTGGCCAGTGGACACTTAGTAATTTTGGGTACACTATTCTATATCTTAAAGCAGTGCATCTTCAAGAAACAGATGCACTGCCTCTGTCCTGCCTGCCTTCTGGGGCTAAGAGGCTACAGGGTTGCAGGTCCCTTGATCCCAGCACCAAGGGCTAGTTCTGCTTGGTGCCATGCTTCAGGATGACATCTCATTCAGCAGATAGCAGAGGGAGATTTTGCAGTAGGTATCTTATGATGACTGCCTTAAGTGGTTGGTTGTTTTTTTTTTGTTTTTTTGTTTTTTTAGTATTTGATCCAAGTTCTGAGGCTGAAGCCAAGAAATCTTACTCGGGCAAATTTGTCGCAATTTCACTGCTGTTGTAGGGAGGTTGTGAGTGTGATACAACTTAGGCAAGCTTTCTTTAAGCAAGTTGCAGATAGGCATTTGTTGAACCACCCCGACCCTTTTTTCATTGATCTGTAACTTGGGTGCTGCCCTGTCTCTAACCTTTCCTGCCTTGATGCAGTTGCTAGAAAGGCTGTCACAGAGCAACTCTATCTTGACACAGCATTCTTGCGTTTCTCCCCCTCTCCCAGGCTAAGTGTGGCAAACAGGCTGTCACTCTCTTGGTGGATTAGCAGCTCCTTGCAGTGACCAAAGAAAGATCAAAACCCTCACAGGTTCTTTGATCTATCAGCAGCTTTTGATCCATTCGATCAAGAAACATCGTTGACCTGTTTGTAAATACTGATTGGCCATAGGCTCAACGGTTCTTTTGGAATTCGGGAGTGAGATTCACCAGGATTATACTGGTTTGTTGTTGACTCACCTTCTCTCCTGTTGCTTTCTTAGGTCTATATTTGGGGGAGGGCTGATGTGGGCTGTGCAGCTCTATGTGCACAGATAACTCATGGATCTGCAGCTGCACTTAAACAGATGTACGCATCATCCCTCTGACGTGGATGCTGTCACAGTCACACCTGTCCATGAGATGTTTGATTTGGATTGCAACTTCTCTGAAACCACAGCTGGTAAGGCCCCAGCTTGTGACTCAGCAGCATCAGTTGTGAAGAATGTGGTCTCCACAGCCTTTGCTGCTTCCAAATCCATTTCAAGTGCATGTCACACTCTGTCAGCTACATACAATTTTCTCTGATATTTTTTTCATTTCTGGCTGCTGAGTATCACCAGACCATGACCAATAGGGTAAGTGGAAATCTTGTATTCACTGATGAGTGCTTGGATTTCCATTCCCAAAACAGAGGTGATAGGGGGGATCTGTACCTTTCTTGACAGCTACTTTGGGAAAAATTTGATATCTTGTCTTAAAGTGTTGCTTAAGATAGGTTCATGCTGGACTTTGTATGGAAGCAGCCAAGGTGCAGGCATATGTTCCCTTCTGCTGATTTGGCTGTGGTGCCTGTAGCCACAGCCAGCAAAGAGAAGCGAGCAACTGGGAACAGTAACATCTTAAACTGCAGCAGAAAGATTGGCCAGACCTCTCATGTCAGCACTTTAATTCCCTTGGTGCTCGTTGAAGAACTAAAAGTTAACTGAGGGTGGTGGCAGAAAATAGGTTTGCCTGCCTTGAAAATGCTAAAGCCAAAACTGAAAAGCAGAGGTGGATCTGAAGGCAGTTATCTCTCTTGGAACTTGTATGGGGATTAAAACATGCATCATCCCTGTAGCACGTAGGGATTTTATAATCACGGCTGGTATTTTGCTGCAGGGTCCTCTGTGGGGTTAGGAATTAATTTCCCACCTTTTTCTAGAAGCCTGGGTTATGTTGCCAGACATAAAAGAGAATCTGTAGCCAAAGCAGACATTTGCTGGACCTCAGAAGTGAGTAAATTGCCGGGGTTGGGTGAAGGTGTACCACCGCCCCTCTGGAAGTCAAAAAAGGGGGAACAGACACAAAGAGAAATGCCACAAGATTTACGTGGCTGTTCCACTTCCAAGTCAGCAGGGAGAGATACTACAGGGCTTTGCAAAGCATAAGACAAACTGCTGTGCAAAGCAGTGGCTGCAAAATTAAAATACAGAATATTTCATTACCTGCAGTGTGGTTCCTCCTATCTCCCCCCACATCTCTACTTGTTACAGAATGAAATTTCTTTGTTAATGAAAATATACCCCATTCCGAGTAAAAGCCAACATTGCAACATTTTTGGAAGGGGTTAAAGTGGCAACTTTGCACAGCAACCCTCTTTTTCCCCAGCAAATCTGCCAGCATTTTAAAGATATAAATAGGGACATTTGGGGAGAAAAGCAAATTTAAGTTCCTTTGAAATGTGCTTGGCTGAAGGAATAATTTGAAGAGAGGGAGTGGAAAAACAAATGGAAAATATTTTCTTTGACAGGAAGAAAAAAAGAAGTGGCAAAATGTTCTTCCCAAATAGGGATACTTGGCTGGTGTGTACTTTACGCAGCCCTGGGTCAGACCTTACAAACAACGACTAAATTAGGTTCAGTTACTTTGATGTTAAAAGCATGGAAGTGCCAATAATTAAGCTGCATCAGATGTAGGAAATGACTGATGTGTCTGCCATGCTCATGATAGCTGAGTTCACTGCACTGCCATTTGACTGACCCCTTTTTCTATATGTAAGCAAAGGAAATTTTCTTCCAAGGAAAATCAGTTGGTTTTGCACCTTTGTTTTGTTCTCTAAACTGCTAATCCCCTGAAGGTATAGAACTATTTCAAAAAGCAAATCAAAGCTCACATAATTCAGTGTTACATTATTTGTTGATGTATGGTTTGATTTAGTGGCTACTTATTATATCAGGTTACCATGTAATTATCTTAATTATTGACTCCAGAAGTAAGTAGAGGGATTATGAGAGAGGCAAGAAGGCCCAGTGGATAGCGCATGGCTCAGGGAATCAAACACATCGTGGTGTGGTCTTGGATTCACCGCTCACTCAGTCTACCTGGACTTATTTCTCAGCCATGAGATAGGCAGAGAGAGCAGGAATGGGGCTGAAATGGGGAATCAGGATTTGGAGAGATACAGGAGAGCAGAAAGAACAGAGGGGAGAAGAGAATGAATATACACCTCAGCATGCTTTTGCATTAAAGCCCATGGTGTCTGTGCTGCCATGGGGAACGACAGTGCGGCCACGAAGGCCTGAACACTAAGTCTGATCGTGCTCCATCTCCAGCCTCTGCTACTCATCTCCTGTGTGAGCATGGGCATTGCTGGCAGCCCCTGAACTTCATGTCCCCTTCTGCAAAACAAGAATGATAAAATCACCTTCCTGCCTTTGCTCTTACTGGAGTGCAGCTCCTAGCCCAGCCTGCAGCCATGGTTCTCATGACATGGCTGCTATTTGTGTGTTTGAGTCTCTTTGTGTGATAACCATTGACTTAAGTCGAAGGTTTGAGTTAATAGGCACTGCTGCAACGTGAAAAACAGCATTGAAAAGCTGTCAGGGCAGTCTGTACTTCCTGTATTGATAATATTTGGCATATACTGACAAAACACTTCAATGTATTGACAAGATGAGTGGCATCTTCTTTTCCCTGTGAGAAGAGCAGACACTCTGGTTCTGCTCAGCATGTGGAAATTTTTTTTTCTCTGTTTTTGCTTTTGCTCTCCTGAGCCGAAAAAAAAATGGGGATAATAGATTGTATCTATTTCTTTCCTAGAAAAGATCAGTTAATGTGAAATGGTGCATGGTGGCTTAGTTCTGAATAAGTAGGATACCCTAATCCAGCAAGGTATCCTTGCTCTATTGTATGCCTTTTCTGCATACCATCTGGAGTTGCTCTCTGCTTAGTATTTGCAGTATGTACCATATGTTTTTGCATGAAAATTCAATAAAATATGCATTATACATGAAAAGTGCTGTAGTAAATAAAAGAAGGATGGAATCCAGTCCCCTTTGTGAACGACAGGGGCCCCAAATCTTCATAAAAGGTTTAGTCTAGTCTGATGTCTGTGCTTTTCTCCAATTTACTCCGTGTCAGTCTTTAGGAGATGCTCGAATTTAAAACAAAACTCTGCTCTCCTGATGAGGTTATTAGATGTACTTTGGCTGCCCTCTGCTGAGAACACTGAATAATGACGGGGAAAACATCCTTTTTTTCTGAGGTAGGTAACAGGGAGAAATTATCTATGCGTCTGTGTGCTGGGTTGTGTCTCTACAACTGGTGATCATCCTGTTTGCTGTCTCTTGCTGCCTGTCAAAAGGTAAAGCCTTCAGCACTACAATGTAGTTTAGGTCTCAGTGCTGACTATGTGTTTTCATGGGTTGGGAAGTTCTGTTGGCCAATGAAAATGTGGGCTCTGGCATTTCCCACCACGCAAAATTTAGCAGTGTTACACAAGGCACAGGCATGAAAAGGAACAGATTTCACACCTGCTCGGTGTCCACTGGCACTTTGGGAAAGGGCAAAGGATTGGCTCCAATATCAACAAGAAAAAACTAATGTGTTGTTTCTTAGGAAGAAAGTGCTTTGCCATACTCCTGGTGTTGGAAGGGAATGAACGTCTAGTGCAGATCTCAGTGCATGAATAAAACAATATGACTGCTGGAGCTATTATTGCTTTCTGCAATACCCTATTTTAAATACTTTCTAGCAAGTTGATTTATTATTATATCTTCAGCTGGGCTGCACACCAAAGTGTTTTAATGATGAAAGAAATGTTATACACACATTTAATTACTGCCCACGTTTTTGTATAATTTTATCGTTTACTCTTTTAGATGAGACTTCGAGTTCTTCTACAGGAAAAATGCCCAATGAAAAATAGATGATTTAAAAGCTAATCTGGGACGAGTTTGGCATGCCACAGTGAGAAAATGTGGTTGTTCATTTCTTCCTGCTTTTTCAGATGGTCACCGATTATCAAAATGTACAGGAGCTGCCCTATCTGGACATGGTGATTGCAGAGACATTGCGCATGTTTCCACCTGCATTCAGGTACCCTTTTTTTTTTCCCCACTTCTGATTCTGCAGGGTAGATTCCCAGCTATATAAAATGGAAATCTACTCTTGGAAGACCGATGTGCTCTTGGTCTCTGTGCCAACATCAATACTGCTTGTGCATTTGGAAGATATAATGTGGCCTATTGAAGGAAAACTGGCTCATTCTCATATTTCTAAAGCAGCATTTTTTTTTTTTTTTTTTTTTTTGCAATGAATTGGCCAAGACTGCTCTCTTGCCATTCTTCGCATCCCATAAGATTAGAGGATGGAGCTGTTCTGCAGCAGAACTGGCCTGAGAAAGCCAGATGGTGCTGCTTTGGTATGCTTCATGGGCAGGGAGCAAAGAATGACCCTGGATGAGTGACCTTCTAGTCACTAAGTTTTTGGAAGGTTTGCACGTTCAGAAAACTCTGTTTTACATGTGTTTAACTTGTACCCTCCTGTTTTACACAAGCATTGTGCTATAATAACATCACTAAGTAAATGGCTACATCCATTAAATTTTTAAAGTTTCTTCCCAATCTACCCACAAATAATTTTACTCAGTGAACTGAAAATGAAGGGGGAAATAAATCACAAAATAAATTACAAGACCATTTGATTGTTGAATTTCCAAGTTATCGCAGGCATAAATGTTAAGAGTGGAACATTTCAAAGCAGCCAGCTCGTTGTGCTGCTTATTGTTAAGCTGGGAAGAAATTTCAGATGACTGGAAAAGAGCCAAAGCTGAGCTTACTATGACAGCCTTTGGAAAACTTGCCCCACAGTTGCAATCACCTTAAAATTAAATAAGCTTAGAATCACATTTCTTTTATACATTCCCAAAGATTACAGTGCAAGGTTTTTCCACAGGCATCTGCAGGATTGCTCAGAGAGTAAATGTCAAGGATACTTGCTCACGAATGAGATAACTGAGCTTTACTGTGTTATACATGGTATACAAGTGGAAACTGTTTCAACAGTTAAAGCATCAGGGATCTTTGAGTTTCAGCTGAACCACAGGGAAACAATCAGTGTTTGTACAATAGGAAACGAAATGAGAAAGGAGCAGAGTTGTTCTGAAGTTTCCGCTGCTGTTGTGACTGGTGTTTATCGATCTGGCTTTTACTCTGATGGATGAGCAGTGGATAGGACAGCCCTGTGCCTTGGAAAGATGTTAGTTGCCTATGACAAGAATAATACAGTTTTCAGGAGAATATTCAGTAGCAGCCAAGTATTCTGTAAGATGAGGTCCTTTTAAAAAAAAATAATTTACTAGCCGGAGAACTTTCTTCCACAAAACTCACTTTTCCACTGTCACCAAATTCTTGTGAGGATGAGAGGGATGGCTTGTCAATGTGTTTCTTAATGTGTCAGTGTTTTGTTCCAGGTTTGGAATCTCTGCTATTTATTTGTCTATGAGGAGAGAAACTGAGTGACAGTGAGGAAAGAATGTGTCTCTGTAATAGCACTTGACTGACAGCTCTGAAACTGAAATCTTCATTCAACTGCTTTGGCTCAGTGCGGGGAGCAGCAGTGGGAGCCCCGGTGCTCCCAACTGGTGTTGGGCTGGAATCTGCAGCGACCCTCCAAGCTCCAAAAGATGCAGATTGGGATCTGCCCTTGCACACTTGCACACCCACCCAGCATTCCTGCAAGGTTTGCAGACCCAAACTCAACGTGGACAGGCTGCTTGTTTCAGCCACGTTGTCACAGTGAGGTTCCTCAGGACAGTTCCACTCCTTGCAGACCACTATGGCTTGGGAGGAGGCTGGAGAGCTGTGCTGCCAGTGTCTGGCCTGTCCTTGATGAGTGCCTGCAAGCTGCAGTTTCTCAAAGGCTTGTGAATTGATTGCATTTCTGTAACAGCAGTAGACCAGTTAGTTCTACTATTAAAACCAACTCTTGCTAGTATTCACATGTTGCCCTAAAGTGGGGGCAACTGAATAAATTTAAAAAACCCTCTTTTGATGTAACTTTTCCTGAAGGCAGATACTCTTTCTACCTGTTATTAGAAAAGACTGACACACTCCATCTGTAGTTTTCATAAGAAATGAGTCTGAAGCTGACTTTAGCAACACCTTTGCAGTTCAACACCTAAGCACTTCTAAAGATCATAAGCAACCAGAACTGTGAAAAGGGCAAAAGTTAGCCATCTGGGCTGGGGCTGTGTACTTCTAGGTAGGTGGAGACGATTGTAACATGAGAAGAAACTAGCATCAGCAAAGACTGCTTTATTTATAAACTGGGAAAGGGTTGCCTGCTAAATTGCAGGGTCAATAAATGGCTTTTATGGCTCCCTCCTGCTGTGTTTTTACCTGTATTAATCATCTGGGATACATGACATTGCTGTTGCAGGTTTACTCGGGAAGCAGCTAAGGACTGTGTGGTGCTGGGACAGCGTATTCCTGCTGGTGCTGTTATTGAAACTGCAGTTGGACATCTCCACCACAACCCAGAATTCTGGCCAGAGCCAGAGAAATTCATTCCTGAAAGGTATGTAAGTGTATGCTTAACATTCTTAGGCTGGAGTCCTTATTAGGACAAGTTTAGACCTAAGACCTGCTTTTAATGATGTTAAAATGCATTTAGAGTGGGCACAGGGCTTCAGCCTGTCCAGTGGGGACACCAGGTACTGCTTCTTCTTCACAGCTACAGCCCACAATTCACCTGAAACGGTATTTTGTTAAGCATATCACAGTTTAATTTAGATCCTAAAATATATTATTTCTACCAAATTAGACAACTGGTGATAGTGGTGCTTCCTGGAGATGATGCAAAGTCTGGTCAACAGCTGAAACAGGCTTCAGGTTTTCAGGTGTTTCCAAATCAGTTGCTTCAGATACTATCACTTCTGGGCATGGAAATTCTGCAGTAAGGCAGAATTCTGCACTGGCACAGAGCTGCACAGGAGTCTTATGCAGCTCCTGGCTAATTTGGAGCAGTCTTTCCACTGGAGATATTGTAACAGTTTGGGAATGCTGTGAGTGGGGAACCTATCCCATCTCCCACTGGGAATTTTCTCTCTGTCCATAAGCTGGGATCCTGGCTTCTCAGCTCTGCTTAGCAAGACGTATTTTCACATGGAACGTTTATTATGTTCAACTACAAGCACTACTGACAAGTTGTCTTCTTGTACCCTGCAGCTGCTGTGCTGAGCTTACAGGACCCACAGAGCTTTAGCTTTGTGGTGCTGTGTGGAAGCACATTTTAAGCTGTTTTGTGGGCAGCTATATTTTAAGCTACTGCGTGTTGAAAAGTCAACTAAGAAAGGAAGTGTATGCTCTGCAAATAATGGTGTGATGAAGGCAGCCCAGAGGCACCTTTACAAGCCAGTCAACACATGTATTGTAGGTAGGCTTGCCCAATGGATTTCTTTTGGAGCAAATCTTGACATACACTGCACCAAGCACTTGGGGTCATGAAGAAGAGCAAAGTGTGAATTATAGCTCAGAGCTCTTGTTAGGCAGGAATCTTAGCAATAACTGGAAGTCTGGAGTGGGTTTTCTGTTGGTTTATTTTTTTAATGTTTATCTAGAAATGTTGTCACTGTTCATCAACTTAACAGTGATATGAAAGTGCATAATGAGGTAAAATGGTTAGCAAGGACTGAAGACCGCTTGACTCAGTATGCAACAGTCAGCAGTGCTCAATACGTGAGGTATGGTCCTTCCATATCAAATTTGGGGATCTATGTATTTTCTAAGAGAGTATCTCAATCTTATTTAGCGTATCTAAATATGGGGATGGAGTTAGCAGAAATATGCAGTGTTACTTTTTTCCAAATCTCATAATAGCATGTATTATTTTTCATCCCTAAATCCTACAAGTGTTTGTTGGACCGTAATAGTCTGAAGTTCTTGCAAACTGTATGTAAGTGAGCAAGAGATTCTCAAGGATTCCCCTGTAGATGAAAACCAGAATTTTTATTGTCATACTGTAGTGCAAACGCAGTCAGGGCTTGAAGCAGTGATCAAGCACGTGGTGGGAAGGCAAGGCCAACCCAGGGGAGTTCAGGTGCATCCACCTCTTTCCAGACCTCATTTAAGGACTGGTAGTGGAGGTGAGGGTATCTTGCTGGAGATCCTTGCTTACCTGAGGCCTTCTAAAGGTAAGCACATTCTTTCCTTTATTTCTGTGCCCCTGCTATTGTATTTGAGCAAATTCTCACTTGCTGCAGCCTAGGACTGTGCCACTCTGTTATTGCTGCGCTTTCTATTGTGTTACTACATGCAGAACTGGAAAAGTAGTTCTGTACTGCCAGGACAGTTCTGAACACTCTGTGACCTGAGGGAACTACATAGATTTCTGAGATAATTCCTCCTCTGTGTCTAATATACAGCCAACTTTGTAGACAAAGTGTTTAGCTTTTGGTTTGTACCTCTGTTCGTATAGGTGTTTTGTTTCCTTCCGAGGAAAAAAAAAAGTCTTATTTGTAATGAACTGATTGAGTATTTTTAAGCTAGGTAGTTGATGCATACCTGTGCACAGACTGCCACATTAACATTTACTCTGATAAATAAATTGAAATACTTCCACTCTGAAAACAGAAGGACCTGAAATGTGAATGTTTCCTAGCTGGGAGACTGCTCTCTTTGGGCTAAGAGCAGAAAGAAGGGCTGCTCTGAGTTATAGCAACCATTTTCCATTGCCTGCCCAGTCCCATTAGATGATTTCATTGTACCTTGCAAGAGAAATTAGGAAGGTTAAAACCAATTCCTGTTGACTTGCTTCTGCAGTGCACAAGGAAGCACTGTTGCTAATTCAAGTTAGTTTATATTCTGGGCTGTTCTCTCTAAGCTGTAATCTCTCCCTCATGCACATACAAGTCTACATGAGTAGCATGTCATTCTTTTGAACATGGTCACTGACTAAAGCAATTCATTAAAAACAGATTGCAAATCATACATCTGTCTGTCTGCTTCTGTCACTAGCTGGCAAAGGCTGATGTCTGCAAGTCTGCTAACAGTTGACTTACAGGCATAATCTGACAACAGTCCCTTTCATCTGTCCATTAGGTGGAATAGAAATAAAAACTTTTTTTTTGAAATGCAAATAAAATAATACGAAACTAGGAACAAAAAGCATTTATTGAACCGGTTGCCATCTCTTCACCTTCTAGGTTTACAGAGGAGGCCAAGAAGGAGCGTCATCCCTTTGCATATCTACCCTTTGGAGCAGGGCCCCGTGGCTGTGTTGGTAGGAAGATGGGTTTGCTGGAAACCAAAATGACTCTGCTGAGGATTTTGCAGATGTTTCGATTTAAGACCTGCCCAGAAACTGAGGTTTGTACGTGGAGAAGCTTAAAGGCCACACTTGTCAACCTCAGTGAGTTGACAGTTTTTCCTAGACAGGATGACTTACTTGCCTTTGTGAATTTCTCTTCATTACAGAAAACTGATAGAACCACCTCCATATTAAGTAGAAACAAAAAAACCCTGACTGCATGTTTTAATCAAAATGTGATTTAACCCTTACAATTTTTATAATAGAAGTTACACACCCTTGCCTTGATGGAGAGCAGTGTATCACCACTGCAGTCAAAAAACATTGATTTATATGGAGTGAATGGGTGTATCTCTTTCTTCTTAGGATCTCAGCACTTTAGTATGTGCCTGTTGCAGTATATATTGCACCTGTCACTTACTCAGCAGCTGTAGAGTTTATAGAGTTAATTTCTTTCTGTTCAGATCTACAATATACCTGGGCAATGACTGCCTCAGCCTCTGGCTATAAATTCTATTTAATATACTACCACAGCTGACTGTAAAATAAGCACTTTACTGCTTCCACTGTAATTCTGGTATGAATTTATTCCTGAGCAAAAATGTCTGTTGGTATGTGGGACTGTTATGTATACATAAATGAGCACGTACAGTCATACTTAAGTTGTTCTTCTGTCTTTCAGATTCCTTTGCAGCTGAAATCAAAAGCCACACTTGGACCGAAAAATGGAGTCTACATTATCCTAGAATCTCGCTAAAACAGAATGTACATCCTGTAACCTCCTAGAATGGGACCTCTTGTTTAATGACTCACTGATTATTATTGTTTTTCAAATATCCAAAGACAGGTAGGAACCTGAGTCCCACTAAAGGTCAGCAGATGCTGCCTAACTGCCACCTGGTGGGAGAGTTTCAAGTCACTTTTAAAAAGGAGATGTGGGCTTCGCAGTCACTTGATGATTTTGAAATTGCTGTGAATAATATCTGAAAAGCATGTGACTTTCACTGGCTTTTCTACATTACACTTCCTTTTACTCATCTATAAGAAGGCTTTCTCCACGCTCCAGTTCAATGGAAGGAGCAGGTGTTAAGTGTACACTAGATTTACGATAGGTTTTAATTACCATTCATTAGTTAATACATTCTGCTGATGCACTTATAAATCCCTGCTTTAGAAAAGCCCAAGAGACACCAGTTATAGCAGAAGAGTTGGAATCCCATGCATTGGATTTTATTCTGAACTCTGCTAAAAATCAAAGCTGAGTCTCCTGCACAGTACTTAACCTCTCCTTGTTCCTGTAAAGTAGAAAAGGCAGCATCTTCATGCTTTTGAAGTGTTTTGAAATACACTTAAATTAACAGTTTGCACTTGGCTCATTGCATCAACATGCCTGAAGAGGAATGAAGAGTTCCCCCAGTTGCCTGTTAGATTCCAGTAACTAAGACCAAAGAAGTGAGGTGATAACTATTTTGTTAGTTAAGAACTGCTCTTGGAAAGGTTGACAAAAATAAGACATAAATTTAAAGGAAGCAAGAGGATTGGAGAAAACTTTCAGGATATTCAGAAGATGTTGGCATAATATCTGTTTCACTGTTCTGAGGCCTATACTTCCCAAGCATTGCAGTTGACATCTTTATCTCATTGGGTTCTGCATGCACTAAGGCCAATGGCCAGGGAGTGGGATCCAGGATCATCAGTCCCAGGAGTCCCAGGAGTTCTTTTGGCTCCTTATGTGACCCTGCAACAAGTTATGTCCCAAGTGCCTAGTGATGTTCTGTGCTAGAGGTTTCCTTAAGTACAGCATTTCTCTTGGTGGGATGCACAGAGAAGTGTTGTGGCAGCAGTGGGAAGAGACTGACTGCTCAGCTTCCCTGCAGGGATTGCTGGAAGGAGCCATCTGTTCACTGATCCTTAGCTGCAGTTTCTCTCCAGCAAGCACCTTTTGCTGCCTTCTTCCCACATGCTTCACTTCACACTGATTAAATTGCTCTGTCTCATTCCTGAAAGATTTTGTCTGTTTTTTTTTTTTGATGGGATTTTTTTTTTAATCAGATCTGTACAGGTAACATTGAAGTACTGTCCTGGCAATCGTGGAATTGTTCCTATTTATGTGGAGCATCTCTGGCAGGCTAACCAGAAATGTCCTATTACAGATATTGAATTACTAATGGAGTGACTATTATTTGAAAAGCAACAGAGTGTATATGTCTTAATTTCCACAAGTTATCCATCACCTTTTCCTCTTGAAAGCAGTGTATTGACAGCTGATTTACTGTGCAGCTTATAGGTACAAGTGGCAAAAAAGTTGGACAGTCTTTGCCTAAAAACTTCCCACCTACCCCAAATGAGCAGAAGGCTCATTTCACAGTCTGAAGAAGTCGGCCATGAAGGACTTGTTTGGCTCCTCAATATTTTTTTTTAGTCCTATTTCTTCCTTATGTAAATCAGGTCTTTGTGTGCTTTGTTTTTGAATACTTAGTCCAGTGTAAATGAAAATTGTGTCTCGCTTCAGCGTGCTTTTGTATGATCTGTTGTGATCTGAACACTGCTTATCTAACCTGCTTATCGGAATCCTGTTTGTATCCTTGGTATTTATCTGAGAGCTCCACTCACGTGTACGGCAGCTGAGCAGCTCACATTGCTGTAGCTAAACAGGACATTGTCATCGTGAAGGCCATGTTAACTCTGCTGGGAGAAAAACATTACTGCAGTGGCCACAACTGTGCATCACATTTTACAGGCTTGGAAATTGCACTGAGAGTCTTTCCCTGCTGCTTCTAAATTTAACAGACAGTACACAAACAACTAAACTCAGCTGAGCTGATACAGCCACCAGACACTGCACAGCCTTCCTCTGTACCAGGATGCTTAATGATGCTGTTCCTGTCCCGGGCTCAGCAACGTGCTGCCAGAAGAGCGGTGCTGCTCTGGAGTACTGGCAAAAAATGAGACACGATACTGCCAGCAGCTCCCAGAAAGAGAAACAGGTAACAGCACAGTAACTGCAGGAGTAAGGAAGCTGATGTAAGATAACTTTCTCTCCTCAGTACCTTTTAGTCTGTTGCCTTGTATTGCTGAGCTGTGGGTATGTTTATGTTTAAGGCCTGCTTCACAAGAAGCTCTTTGTCACTCTCAGAGAGGTGATATGAAAGAAAGGCTGCTTAGTGAAGGGAAGCATCTATTAAAAACATCTTCTGAGACTTTGCAACGATTGCTGAAATCAGTATAAAATAGTATTTATAATGACTGCTGCAATGATAGAAAACCTTCAGATTGTACTTTCGTTAGGTTTTATACTTCAGTATACTTGGAGTCAAGCATTAGAAATGATTATGCTGGGCCAATTGCAAATGTGAACGCTTTACTTTATTTGGCATTAAACAACAGAATTTTCTCCATATGGAATACTTTCTTAAATGATCGACTGCTCATTTCCCTTTGTTAAATGATAATTCCATCTTGGGTGCTACTTCACCTTCTCCTGTGCATTTACAATATGCTGAAAGCATCCACGGTTGACTCTGGAGCTGTTGATTTCGCTGCTCTGTTCCCACCGGCTGTGCGCTCCAGACAGTGATCGGATGCTAAGATATTTGCTCCTTGAACTCCTGGGTGCAAGGCAGGATGCAGGATTCCCCCCACTGCTAGGATTTTGGAAGCAGTGACTCACAGACTAGATGGGAAATGCAAGGGTGCTAGTCAGGAGCCAGCTGGATATGGCCTGCAAAGCCTACGCTTGACTCCAGGTGAGCTCTGTAAGTGATGAGATGGGTTGGCCCTGGGAGGCTCCAGACCTCTGTCCTGCCTGGGGCAGAGGCACAGCCCAAACTCTGTATACTTTCTGCTGACTTGCCATCTGTCTTGATGGAACGGACATGCTGCCAGGATAAGGAAACAATCTTCACAGCTTATCCTTCTCTTCATGCGGTATGGGAGTGAGCAAGAGGTGGAGAAAGTGAAAGACGATGGCATTTTTCATCTTCAGTTTCTTTTGTCTTAAGTAGTAAAGAGAGATCCTTATCATTCATTCAGAAAAGAGGGTCAATATCAATCTTTCTATAAAGTTTGGATTTAGGGCAAATGACTCTGTTTCTAAATGCAATCCTAAAAGCTGTAAGGGATTCCACTGTTCAGCAACAGCATCTTTAAGGAAGTTTCCAAGAAATCAGAAAGGTCACCCATGTGGTGCACTCAGAGAGTGGGGAAAAAAAGAAAAAACACGGTACAAAAAATTCAGCAGTCAAGTACTTTTTAATTGATGATACATGGGAAACTTTCCACTAAAGTTTGAAGTGTGGAAAACATGGTAATTTTTTTCTCCTGAATGTTACTGGAGAAATAACAAGTAGAAAAGTAATAAACCCAGACACACACACACACACACACACACACACACACACACACAAAAGTTTTAAAAATATTGTTTGTATCTGAATTAGCCATCAAAATTGTTATTAAAAATATCTCAACTTTTTGCATGTTTCCTGGCAAAAGGGTAAAACACAGTTTTTCAGTCGGATCAAGCATAGAACAATGGCTCTGGTTATGTTCACAGCAAGGAAGGCACACCATCAGCCTCCTTATTTGCCATGAACATACAGATAACATGTTTTGGCAGAAGTCTTACTTTGCACAAGTAGTTCAAGCTTTCATACATCACATTGCCCTTAATGAATGTATTACTTGCTGAGGTGAGATTTAACATGTGTTTTACTACAAATCTTTCAAGAGAAAGAATACAGCCAATACGCTTTTCCACATACTTCCTGGATTTAACCATATGGTTGAAGGTATTTTCATTTAGGTATTTTGCTGCTTGCTTTATGGTTTATATAAAAAGAGCTTCTGCACAGGCTTGTTTGGCTAACCGTGCCTCAGCTCCTAGCTCACAGTGCAGGTAGTACAAAGTAGCCCAACACCCACCTGTCAGTCAGGATGCAGATGAACTGGAAAGAAGTGCTTCTAGAGTAGAGGTAGAGAGAAGGTTTTTATGTCATATACAAACATGTCTTGAAGTTTTTATAATCTGTGGTTAGCATGTACTCTTTCAGCAGCATTAACGTAGCAATAAATGCAGGATGCCAAGTATCATCAGCTTTCACCCTAAGAAATGCCCAGTAGTTCAAGATTCTTGTTTATCTGCATGTACTGACTGCTCGGTGCTAATAATATATAACACCTTTTGCTGAGAGCAGTTAAATATTCACCTTAGTCTTGAGATTTTTAACAGCTTCAGCGCTGCACCTGAAGACTACTCACAGTTAAATGCTTTTCTCCAGCAAGAAAGCCCAGAGACCTTGGTTACATAGGTAACTAGTACATCCCCTGCAACTAAATACATCTAAGGCAAGCAAGAGATACTCATTCGTTCACAACAGTTACAACAGAATCACAAGGATACTTCAGAGAAAGAGCGTGCTGTTAAATAAGCAGTGCAAGCATTGCATTTCTCTCCCAAGCATAATATTCTAGAATGAGGCGAGTCGCTTTCTCATCTCCTCACTGTGTATGCCAGAACTCTTGTTTGTAGGCACAGCAAAAGTCCTTAAAAATTTGTGCTCTCACCAACTTAAAGTACAGTGGTTATTGGTAAAAAGTCAGTGGTTTAAGTACCACACCTCAAAGCAACCCTTGTTCTGGTTCATTACTTTGTTACTTCTTTTAAATGAGAAAAATCAGCAAGTGAGAGTAAGTCCCTGCTCCTTCTCAACAAAGGTTTAATTTTTGCAGCTACTTCAGTGAAGATTAAGTAGGGTCAGAAAAACAGTGCTGCTAATAATTTAGGCAATGACTTGAGTACAAGGGACAGATTGTACAGTCTCATTTGCAAACACTTTAACGTCTACTGCTGTAGAATACTATTAAAAAAAAAAAGCAGATTTTATCAAATTCTGAGTCGAAAAATGAAAAGGTAGAAAGGGGGCAGATTCTAAACAGTGAACACAGGTAAGGATCTATCCTGAAACAGCTGTAATAGAATATTATTTAAACTTGGCAGTTACAGCCAATCTTCATTTTACAAGCATCAGTGAATCCATCCAGTAAACACACAGAAACCTCAGAACACTGCAGTACAGGAAAAGCTGACACCTGCTAAAACAATAGGAGACAGAGGATTTTAATTCTAAAATATCCTTTGTGTCTTTTTACTCCTTGACTTCCACAGCACGGAAAGTATAGAATAAATGTCTGAATGCTCATCTACCCAACTATATGACTTCCAGAAATCACTTTCCTCAGTTACGTCAAGATAAATATAATGTTTATTTGAGCTACACGTAATGATGACCTGTTTTGCTGCTACAGCATTCTTGCACATGCCTGATCCAAGTATTCAATGAGATACTCTGGATAAACCTGCTGCTTCTCAAAGATGACAAAGATAGAAGGGTTTGAAGAGCTATTCACACAGCTGTCGTAGAAGTTCTGGTTGTCCTTCAGGGGAGGACGAACATAACTTGACCTACCAACAGTGAACTCTCCCACCAACACTCGTGCCAGAAACATGGTCTTGCTGCATGAACCTTCCTTGCAGTAGGCGTCAGAATACGATGCATCCCTTGCAAAATAGCTTCCTGCAGAAAAGACATCAAGACAGAGTTGATAAGACACTAAAATTACAGAGATGGAAAGAATACGGTGTAAAAGCAAATGCACAAAAAAAAGCTATGAAGCAGTTCCCAGATTACCTTTCACTACCTATCATTCTTAGTGAAAATGACCACTATGTATTACCTACCCTTTTATTTTTGATAGTATACATGTTAAAACCCAAACAGGTGATGTTCTAAATATTACTGCTTTTGTGAAAGGCTTCCTTTCTGACTTCAGACTTCCACACTCCCCCACTCACACAGGTTCTTCTCCTGACACAGGCTACTAATACTCATTGAAACAACTTTTGAGGGTATTTTGAGAGTACTTTCTGAGTATTTAGCTGGATGAGTGGACAGTCAGCCTCTCTCTTGATTTGTTGATTCTTTCATGTATACAGAGTGATGAGTATAATTTCCTAGGAAGGCAATAAGCCTGTAACCAGGATGGTATTTATGTTCCCGGCAAAACAAACAAAAAAACAATCATGTAGTTCCATGCTGCCTACTATAGGAGCTGGAAGAAATTGGAATAGAAGTAGGTGTAGACCATAACAAAATGGAGCACAAAGGCCAAGGCCTTCCATTATGCCTTAGCTCCAAACGATCATTGTGAAAATCAGCAGTATTGTCCACAACTAGCCCCTGATTGGCCAAGCATCCCCTTTCTAGTTTTACACATCTGCAGTGATTAATGCATATTTTTTAGCAAGCCTAAAGTTAATGGAAGAACTGAAAAACAACCTTTGCCATAGACTGTCCCATTGAGGCCACAGATCCTCCAGTCAAAGTTTTGATGACAGATGGCATCAATGTGTTTTTTACTGGTTCCATGAAATAAGAAACGTTCGTCTGTCTTTCCACCATTACTCTTTTCCATTTGTTCCTTCTGCCTATAATGAGAAGTAGCATCATTGCAGTTTCACAGTGGCTAGATAAGTTCCAGCTGTACTAGCACTCAAAGACAAACTGTGAAAATCTTTACATTAAGACCTAAGCTTTGAGCAAACAAGATAGTGTTTTCTAGCTGGGTACAAACATGCTTTCATTGTATACAAATGACTCCGGATATTTAATAACTGAAAATGTTTTGTTCCATTCACTATTTGGTGGGTGTGGAGGAACTGCCATCAGTTTTTTGCTAAACACGAGAATTCATGGTAAGGCTTTCCTTCAGTGAGTCTTTCTTTCAATTTTGAAAGCTGTTTCAGTTTTGACCAGCTACAAACCAGTATTTCAGGCAGATGGGGCTGACGTCCAGCTTCAAGACTTCAGTGGAAAGCAGCTACCCTAGACTTAAGCCTGGCAGACATCAGAACCATTCGCTCCCACAGAGCTCATCTGAATATTCTGAGCTCTAATTCTTGACTGAGTTCTTCTTTTGCTGGTACCTCTTTATTGACACTGTTGATTCCGAATAGATATTTCCATGGCGAAGTGGAAACAGATTCTGAAATACAGCTGTATTTTAGGAATGCATAGCTATCCGTAGCATACAGCTAACGACAGAGACAACAAAACTTCATTCATGCACACCACACCAGTATTTTACACGTACCATTGATACAGTTCCCAGAGAGATGGGTTCTGAATTCTACAAATCTTTTTAATCTGTGTTTTTGGCATTGTGCGTTGAAAGTCCCCCTTGACTTTGTTGTATTCTTCAGAAGAACTGTCAAGATCAATCAGCTGTATGGGAAGAGATTGAAACACTGCTCTCATCTTTTACTAAATCATAACAAAGCCACTCTAAATAGAGTTAGACCGCTCAAACCTTTAAAGTCTTTTCTGTGAAAGAGAGAGAT